TAAAATTATGCTATTATAAATGATTATCTATATTAATACATTTTAAAAGAATTCTAAATTCTGATTTGGGGATTTCGATAGAAAACATCTAAGACATAACAAATTTAATCATAAATCTGAACTTTAGGAAGGTATATGTAAATGTGTATTTAATCTTAACAATTATTGATGTTGTCAATGTATTAATTATAAACATTTGAAAATTATTACTTTAACAATGCCGAAAAAACAGCAATAAGGCAGTTTTGTTCAAATGATACCCCTTGGAGCAAGGGTGTCAAACTCAAGGCATGTGGGCTGGACATGGTTGGATCCATCCTATGCGGTCATCCTGCAAACAGTAAGCGTTCGGCCCACATCACTTCAGCCTGGCCTGACCCATCCTGGCAGGAGTGCATGTGCACAGGAGGAGGTGGGCACACAGGCCCGGCCAATGTCATCCCGTCAGGCATGCCTGCATACAGGAGGAGGCATGCACATGCGCGCACAAGGCCGGCACTACAAAAGGCGGGCACATGCGTCTACTGGGATGGGGGGGGGCAGGTCTGTGAGCACATGTGCCTGCTGGGATGGCATGGGCTGTGTGAAGTGACACGCGCACCTGCTGGGATGGGATGGGCAGGACCTAAACGATGCTGGCTGGCCCCTCACCATTTCCAGGATAGCCGCCCTTACCAGCCTTTCACCACAGAAGCCGCCAGCAGATCATGCAGGTCCATTAGGCCGCTGCTGTTGCCGCCCGGAGCACCAGGACCGCCCAGACCAAAGGAGGCAAAGCGGCCCAGCTAGAAAAGTTGAGTAGAAGTGGTAAAAGCACACCCATTCCCAGCAGACCAAAGGTGGCCGAGGGAGCCAGCCCGGATTGCATGCCTCCCCACATCTCTGCTGGGCTGGGTAACAAGAGCTCCCATGGGGATCTGGCTTTCCCCAATCACGGTGGCCATTTTTTGCCTGCTGGGCCTGAGCGTACTTTACCACCTCTTCTCAGCCTTTCCGACTGGCCCCTTTGCCTCCTTCAGGCTAGGCAGGCCTGGTGATTTGAGCCACACCTTCCAGGAACACTGGCTGAGTGGGGAATCTGTCTGCAATCCTCAGCTCAGAATGGAGATGCAGCAATGTGTGTGTGTGTGTGCAAGACAGAAAATTTCCTTCAGTCCAGAGAAGGGACCACAGCTTCGGGGCACTGTTTGAAGGAGCTGCAGCAGTTGGGCAGCACCCCGAAAGTGCTCTGGAGCTGCTGCCTTGCAGGGCAGGGCAGGGCAGGGCTCGGCTTTCGTTGCCGAGCAGCCCCCAGTGAAGGAAGCGCTTCACCTACTTCTAGCAGCTCCTGGGTGGCAACTCCGCCACTGCTGGGCAGACCCAACCAGCACGAAGGAGGCAAAATGGCCAGCTAGAAAGGCGTGGTCCTCTCACACATCTGATGCACCTTGGCAGCACTGAGGCCGCCAGCAGCTCAGGTCCAGACCCGGCAGGCAAAAAACGGCCATTGCAAGTGGGAAAAGCCAGATGCCCATCACTGTTGTTGCCCAGGCACAACAGAGATTGCGGGGAGGCATGTGATCCCGGCTGGGCTTGGACGGCCATAGCATCGATGCTGATCAAGGTTTCCCCTCTCGCAGTGGCCGCCTTTTGCCTGTTGGGAATGGGGTGCTATGAGCACTTCTACTCAGCCTTTCTAGCTAGCCGCCCTGCCTTGCGAGGCAGCATCTCCGGAGAGCTTTCGGGGCATTGCCCAACCAATGCAGCTCCTTGAGACAGAGTCCCTGAGGCCGCATCTCCATTCCAAGCTGAGGATTGCAGCCAAATTCCCTGCCTGGCCAGCATTCCTGGAAGGTGCATCTCAGGAATAGCGAGCCTTCCCTCCACACAAGCAGGTGAGTCAACAGGACGCTGCCCTAACTGATGCCTGGGGCTCAAAGGCCCTCTTCCTCCAGCCTTGGGACAGGTGCCGCTTTCTACCCCGCCCTCCGCCATGCTTTGGGGAAGCCCAGCCGGGCATCATGTGTTGGGTCTGGCAGCAAACGGAGAAATGCCACGCCATCTCCTGCTTCCTGCAGGGACTGCTAATGGAGCACTGCTCTTGTGCATCCACCACTGCAGTCTGGTGCGCAAGGGGAACACGCTCCATGCACAGGCCAAGTGCAAGACCCACAAGGGGGCTGAGATGACAACCAGCGGTGACCTGGTCTCCAACCGCAAGACCAAACAGACAGTGGGACAGAGTAAGTGAGTCCAGCAGTCTGCATCACGTTCCTGCCCTCAGAAGACAACCACAGTGGTGATCTGGCCCTCAATAAAATTGACTTTGACGAAGTGTGCCATGTTGATCGATCTCGTACCAGGGCTTCCCAGGAGATGGTGCCGATGTCCAGGCACTTGAAGGAGGCTTTCAATGTGTCTTTGTATTGCTTCTTTTGTCCCCATTGCAATCACTTTCCTTGTGACAGTTCACTATAGAGGAGCTGTTTAGGGATGCAATGGTCTGGCATCATGGCCTGCCCAGCGTGTCTGGGCTTTCATCAACAGGGTGTAAACTGATGGCAGTCCTGCTCTGGAGAGGACTTCTGTATCTGGCACCTTATCCTACCACTGGATCCTCAAAAGTCTGCAGAGGCAGGTTGTGTAGAACAAGGGTCACCAACCTTTTGGACCTCAGGGACCACCAAATTCATATTTTTAAATCCCAGGGACCACTAACTGGTTCTGTGGATGTAGTCTAATTTGTGGGTGTGGCTTGGTGGTCATGTGACTGGCTGGACATGGCTTGTATGTAAATATTAATATAAATATTGATTTTTTTTTATTAAAAAAGAGCAACTCTTACCCAAAATCAGGCAAAGCAGGCAGGCAGATTGAGTTGCTCACAGAATCACAGATTCATTCAGAGATCTATCTATCTGCCATCGACTAGCTCAGTCTTGTCACATAAAATTTTCTTGAAAGCAAGCTCATAAAATTTGCTAGCAAGCAAACGCACAAAATTAACTCACAACACACCATGTATGTAAATATGGAATTTTTTATTTTTTAAAAAGAGCAATTTTTACCCAAAATCAGGCAAAGCAGGAAGGCAGATTTGAGTTGCTCACAGAATCATTCAGAGATCTATCTATCTGCCATCGGCTAGCTCAGTCTGTCACATAAAATTTGCTTGCCATGAGTCTGCACTGAATAATAGAAGCTTCAGTCCTGAGGAGGGTTGGCTGTGCTTAAAAGCAGAGCCAAAGATCTAAAGACTAGCAAGAAAGCAAGAAATCCAACCACTTCTTGCTTCCTAGCTAATCTAAATCTCCCAGCACAGCAGAACAGCTGATGGTCAGAAAAATGTAAGGAATGAATGGGCGGGGAGGGTTCCCGTGGGCCATGTGGGGGGGCTCAGCCTTGTGTTTCTGTGCAGCCTAGATTAATTGCTTTGGGGGGATGCTCTGGGGGTGAGATTTCTCTGCACCCCACCAAAATTTTCTCGCAGCCCACTGGTTGGCGACCGCTGGTGTAAAAGTGCTTCAGTTGCCTAGAGCGCCTCCTGTATACAGTACAAGTTTCACTGGCATACATCAGGGTAGTTAGCACTACTGCTCGGTAGACTTTGAGCTTTGTAGCAAGGCTTATTCCACAGCGGTCCCCCACGTTGGTCAGTAGTCTGCCATATGTATAGCTTGCCTTGGCAAGTCTGCAGTTGACCTGAATGTCAATTGTCACTCCACAGGAGAGGGTGCTGCCAAGGTATGAAAATTGGTCCACTGCTTGAAGCTTTTGTCTCTTCATTGTGATGGTGGGCTCTTGGTATTGGGCTTTTGGAGCTGGCTGGTGCATCATTTCAGTCTTCTTCATGTTAATGAGGAGACTGAAGTTGTTGCATGTTGCTGAGGATAATGGATTGCATTTACTGCTCTGATCCAACATTCAGAGCACAGTCATCAGCAAAAAGGAGATCTCGTAGCACAGTCTCCTTGTTGTCAGCCTGGAGTCTTCACAAGTTGAACAGTTCTCCATCAGTCCTGTATCTCAGGCTAATTCCCAAAGAACTGTTCTGGAAGGCATCTGACAGCATGACTGAAAACATTATGCTGAATAGAGTCGGTGCCAATATGCACCCTTGCGGTTTGTAACAGGAAAGGCCTCTGAAGCTTCTCCGTTGTTCAGAACACAAGCTGTCATGCTGTCGTAGAACTGACGTACCATCAGGATGAATCTGTCAGGGCACCCAAACTTTGACATGATGCAGCACAGACCTTTACGACCGACAGGGTCAAAAACCTTGGTGAGATCCATGAAGGTGGTGTACAATTCACAATTCTGCTCTTGAAACTTCTCTTGGAGCTTTCATGCTATGAAGATCATGTCCACAGTGCCACGCTCTTTGCGGAAACCACACTGTGTCTCAGGAAATAGACTCTGTTCCGCGTGGTCAGTCAGGCTGTTCAGCAACACTCATGCAAGGATCTTGCCTGTGGTGGAAAGCAGTGATATTCCTCTATGATTATCACAGACTTGTCGATTTCCTTTCCTCTTGTAGAGGTGTACGATGGACGCATCTTTCTGTTCCTGAGGAATGGATCCTTGATTCCAGAAGGATTGGAACAGCACTGCACCATCATTCTTGTAGACTTCCGCTGGGATAGTGTCAGATCCTGGGGCCTCGCCACTGGGCAGCTGGCTGATGGCCTGCAGAGTTTCATTCTTTGATGGTCTTTGTATTTATATATATTTCTCTAGTTTCATGGCCAGAAATTTGAACTAATACACAGGGTGTACTTTGAACAAACTGATTTTTTTCAATGCTAATTGACAAATGTATGGTTTCTCAGTCTAGTATGTATTGTAGCAAAATTGGCTCCACAGAACAGGACTTAACGTTCAGATTAATTACTAACTAATATGAATTGTACACAGCACATAGATATGGAAACTTGAAGGAAAAAGACAAAAAACATGTAGCTGTAAAAGCCAATGTAGTATAGAAGATTATAAAATATTTTAAAAATAGATCTAGTACTTACCAAAATAAGCCCTGAGATTAACGAAGAAGTGCCTGTCAAGGCAACGTAGAATTTGGGTGTTAATGTGTTCAAAAACATACTCACTGAAAGAGAAAGACAAAAAAAAAAAGGTCACCAATGATTTACCCGGTTTTCCCTTTACTACAATTTGAAATAAAAATGTGTATATACACATATTGTATGCAGAAAGAACAATTGCAACCAGCCTGCCTTCCAACCTACGTACTGCACAAGTCAGAAGGAGGACTGAGAAAATATCTACAGACCTCACATATCCTAGACATAAACTGATTCCATTCCTCCCTTGTGATGTCAGTACAGGGCATTACATGCCAAAACAATTAGACACAAAGACAGGTAATCTACCCCCTCATGCCATCACTCTGCTGATCATCTAATTCCCTGTCTTGTATCAAAGAATATTTAGCCGCGTAGTATTACTATTATCCTTCTCATTTTTTCTCCTATTAGTCTCTTATCATTATGACTGTTGCTTGTATATACACTTTTAGTTTGTAAGTACATATTGTTTGTATGCACACTGATTATATTGCCTCATTTGTACACTGAGAGCTTATGCAGTGGAGACAAATTCCTTGGCCACATCATACTTGGCCAATAAAGATTCTCTATGAATATTAATAATAATGTTATCTTTAATTCTTCTCCACAACGGTTTGTCTCACTTGTCCCCCTTACTTCTTATTAGTAACTTTCTGCTCTCTTTTATTACCCCCATTCCTCACTACAAGTAATTAATGTAATTACAAAGAAATGGCAGTATTGTGTACCTGTTATGATATTGACCTAAGACAGAGGAAACCCAAGTTCAAATCTATCCTCAGCCACAAAACTCTTTGGGTGATTTTGGGCAACTACTCTCTCTGTCCAACCTATAAATGAAGGGAGCTCCCCATGGAAACCATACTGAACTCTTGAAACAACAGCAATATATAAGCAAAATAAAACAAACATTTGAATCAACATTAGACATCTGTCAACTTCTGGAAAACTTTAAGATCATCTTCAGGTTGAAGGACATAAATTAATTCAGCAACAATTTACACTAATTTCTTACATTCAGTTAATCGAGAAGCAAATTGGTGCTGAGATTTAGCATACTGTTCAGCTATAGAGGTCTGACTAACTCTCACAATATACAAACTTATCAATTAAAAGAAGGGTCTAACTACTCTAAATTACGAAAAACTGTGATGCTTGTCCCAGGACCAGACATAAGGATTAATGACCCAAGTACACTGCCGTACCTGGGATGGAAAGAAATGTGTCATGCTGCATATGCACAACCAACATATTGTAGTTTGTCACGTTATATTGCTTACAGACAGTCAAGAAGTAGACTCCATGTACAGCATAGGTGTCAAACTTGATCGCGTCATGTGACATATCGTGAGGTATCATGATTCATGATGTTTTTGGCTTTTGCGGAGGTGGGGTAGGCGTGACATATCCGGCCCGCAGGCCGCCAGTTTGATAGGCTGATGTACAGCTTTGCTAAAGATTTAACAGTTGTTCCACAGCAGGTTTGAGGAGAGACTAAATAATAGAAAGTCGAATACCTACATGTATTTTCTTATTGATCTTTTATTTAGGCACAAAAGAAAAAGGGGGAAGATGTGTGGAAGAGGTAAACTCCACTCATTAATTTCACTTCATAGCATTTTTTTCAAAAATACTTTTAACAATCAACTTATTTTAACTTCAACCATTGTAATGTTTTTGTTGAAACTGACTGATTTGTATAGACAACAGAAAGTAGGAGTTGGAAAGGCACAGCAGTATAAAACCACTCAATTTCTATTTCTGTTATTCATTTTACTTTTTCATCCTAACAGTGAACGGTTGTGCACAAGGCAGTTAACTTAAACAAGGACTACTAGTACTCCATTTGTCTATGCGGGTGCCTCAAAAATCCTTATAGGTATTCTGTTTACAAGACACACATGTTAATAGAATTAAACTTTGTGAAACATGAAAGGTAAAAAGTAAAATCCATTATCAGAATTTACATGTGACTACTGATTATTATTTTTCTAAGTCAAAAGTCAGCACCCCTTTTCCTATGTGAATAAAGATTTCCCTTCTCCTCTAAGAAAGTAAGAACAGTGGCAAGTCCCCTGATTCCCTGTGATTCTTCTTACAGATAAGAAGGCTCATTATGTTCTCTGGCAGAGCAGGCATCTCTCACCAAACTGTTAAGGCAAATGTCTACAGAGATTTTCAGTCATGCAGGTGATGGTTGTCCCAAAAGTGCTTTTTCAAGAGCAAAGGATGACAAAAAAAGCAAATTCTCTATTTTATAACTTAGAGAGGAAAAAACACTCAAAAGAGGAAAACCAACCCAGATGGAAAGTGACATGTCTCAGAAAACTGACCAACGGGTGAGAAATCTGTCTGACAAGAGAGTTTACCCAAACAGAAAATAATTTTTTGGCCAAATGATTGAAATTCGCAGTAACAGAAAAATAGTTACCAATTCAGTGGTGGGATTCAGATTTTTTTTCTACCAGTTCTGTGGGAGTGGCTTGGTGGGCATGGCAGGGGAAGGATACTACGAAATCTCCATTCCCACCCCACTCCTGGGGGAAAGTTACTGCAAAATCCCATTCCCTACCTCCCCACTAACCTGCTTTCCAGCTCCGTTCTCCTGTGCAGGGCAACCAAAGAGGACCCAGCCAATCAGCTGGGACTCGGGAGGCAGAGAATAGATGGGGGCGGGGCCAGTCAGAGGTGGCATTTGCCAGTTCTCCAAACTACTCAAAATTTTGTTACCAGTTCTCCAGAACTGGTCAGAACCTGCTGAATACCACCTCTGTACCAATTGTAGATCTCCTCATAGCCACAGAGTCAGCCATCAGGAACAATAAACTGGCAGAACCAGAACCAGAACAATTAAGGATGAAGGTATTTGCAGCCTTCACCAATGCCAAAACACCCCCTTCCAACTTCACAATTCAAGAAAAAACAGTGACATACCTAGGAAGACATCCAAATATCACCATCCTGCCAGTTGATAAAGGAAGTCGCACAGTCATCCTGAACACAGATGACTACAAGGTCAAGGTGAACAATCTTCTGAAGAGAAGATTGTATGAGACTTGAAGTACACGTGCATTTAAAAGACAATGGCCACTCTTTTGAAGTCCACATTTTGGATAGAGAGGACCGTTGGTTTGAAAGAAGGGTCAAAGAGGCCATCTATGTCAAAACTGAACAACCCTCTGTAAACGGAGAGGGGTATGACATCATCTATCTCCAGTCTACAATACAGTCCATTCAACAGTTCCAAGAAGGCTCCACACCCATTTGCACCACTCAGGTGACCCTGATGACACTAATAAACTTCCAGGTGGCCTTAACGACTCGACTCGCTAAAAGAATGCAAATGACCAGCTGTTTGCAAGGAGTATAAATTCTTCCATTCCCCACTATCCAGTGGCTGAAGAAGCTTCTTGGATGAGAAGTGAAATATTTTCAAAGAAAAACCAGAAAGTCCAGTTGTCTCTTGAAAAAAACATCTTTGTTAAAGCAAATCCATTTTTTCAAGGTTTGGCAGGTTGCTTTAGAATTATATCATACGTAGTGGCAATGCCCCAAAGTTAAAAAAAAACTTGGAAAAATGGAAGAAATGGAAGCCAGAAACTTTCTTATTGTGGATGACAAAAGGAAACCTGAAGAAACATATCCAATACATTGTTCAACATATATTAACAGCAGCAAGAATTGCCTATGCCTAAAGCTGGAAAATAGGCGATATATCTTCCAAAACTTTGATAATAAACAAAATACTTGATTGTGCCGAGATGGATAGGCTTACGAGGCAACTTAAAGGTGAAGAGAAGTCTGAGTTTATGAGGCTTGGGAAATGTTATATATATGGTTAGATAAGAGAAATAAGGTTTGATACGGAAAAGAATTGTAAATATAAGTAACGCCTGACACAGAACTGTTAAAATGTAATTTTCACATGTATTTTGAAAATAAATATTTTTTTTAAAAAAAAGAATTATTTTACTATATAAATGTAAAGATAGAGCCACAAACATAACTTTGTACATGCATGCAAACAGCTGAGAGTAGTTTCCGAAGTAAGATGGACAAGTCTTGCAATAAGGCGGCTTCATTAACAGTTTGAAGACAGGTATCTTGTTTGCAAGTCCTGTATCCTGCAAGTCCTCTTTTTCCATTGTTTTTGCACATCTTCAATGTTACGCTCTATCTTCAATGGAAATGCAGGTAGTTTTGCGTTAAATATAGGCATTTCATAAAATCAGGTCAAAATAAACATGCACACACACACATGCACACATTTTCAATTTACAACCAGAAACATCTGGTTGACTATATGGGATTTAAAAAGATAAACTAGGATGGGCTTTGAATCTGATTTGGTAGGATATTATGTTCTTAAATAAGCATTATGCAAGCTTTTACATGTGACTTTATGCAAGTTTTGTATATGGAAAATATATTTACTTGTCTGGTTTCATCCATCAGAGAAAGAAAATACTGTAGAGGTCAGAGATAAAATATTTCCAGTGGTTTCAAGAGCAAAGAAAATCCCAGCTGCGGGGTTGGAAGAATTTGCAGCTACAGTAAGTTTGTCTCAAGAGAGAAATGATTTAGCAAAAGCAGTTGAAACCAACTCTCAAATCTTGTGAAATATACTGTGATCATATAAGTAGCATGCTGAACAGCTCCATGGAGACCAAAGCTATAATTATCGACAAGTAGGAGGTTATATTTAAAGCTTTTTGACCCTTCTAAAGATGGCTGGTTTATGTATCAAGTGTCATACTTCTTTGGCACACAGAATTGCCATCAAAACATGATTGTACTTTTAAGTCCAAGCATGGGCATCGTGTTTATAGTTACACTTAGAAATGTGCAAAATTATTTCCATTGGCCTTTGGTTGTAAGCTACCCTGACTATATTTTGCATATTTTGTTTTTTTACACTCAAACACAATGTCTTTATGCTACAACCTCCATTTTCTTTTCTTTTATTGCCAAACTGTGTTTAATATATTTTTTCCCTTTTTTCTATTTTTACATATTCATA